TCGCCGGATTTAGCTCCGTGTGACTTCTTCCTCTTCCCAAAGATGAAAATTCAGCTAAAGGGAAGGAGATTTGAGACGATAGAAAAGATTCAGGCAGAATCGCAGATGGTGCTTGACAGGCTGAAAAAGAAAGATTTTCAGGGATGCTTCCAGGTTTGGCAGCGGCGCTGGGATCGTTGTGTTCACTCCCAGGGGAACTACTTCGAGAGTGATGGATGAATTTAATACCTGAGATAAGTGTACGGGTTTTTATAGGCGCAGTCTGGAAACTTTCCGATCGCACCTCGTATAATATATTACCTGGCAACACTGATGGATCGTAAACAATACAAAACACAGCACAATAACGTTTCGAACGCTTTGTATTTTTAATACATACAAATTCCTTATGTTCACTATGAGTCACATAGTGGAAGATGTATATTACCATCATCTTATTTAAACGAATTGTTTTATTTAATACGCAGATGCATTTGGAATCCAAACGGAAAAAAGAAACACAACGAGCATCCTTAAAATCCATATATTGTAATGACTCTTCACGATAAATAATTGTGGTTATTCAAATAATGCACATTTCTTGGTTATGAAATTGTGTCTAGAAAGCACAAGCTTATTATTCTGCCGTAAGAAACACTGCGTCATAGCAGTGGAGTGTTATATTTGTGCAGAACTGCAAAATTCATTGAAAGCTTCCAGCGTTTTAATTTGGACGAGAGCACTGACCCTCCCGCAAACCGTTAGGACGTTAATACCATTGAAAGGATGCTTGACATTTTAATTTAACAGAAATTTCATTATTTGTAGTTGAAATCGTAGAATTAAGACTGCTGACGTTGAAATAATTATCTGATATGCAATACATCGATAAAAATTATTACGTCTTGCAACTGAGGCAGTGTTGCAGTTGCTATTCTGTTGTATTTCTAGGAAGAAAATTTTGACTATGAGGTTGTAGTTACTGAGAACAATGATCTTTTAGAGCCACTTTTGGGATACTGGCGGGGTAACTTCACTGATGAAACAATACAAATATGGAGTTTTGGTTAGAAAAAGATCTTCTACTTCTGTTGAATTGATTCATAATTACTGTTACAGAAAGCATACCGTGCATTGAACAACGTATTTATCTTACTTACTCTGAATCTGTATCTCTAACCAGCAGGACGCAATTGAAAAATTTTATAGACTCTTGGGGAATTTTGGTACAGAATGCTGTGCAAATTATGGCATCCCATCAGCTCGGAGCCTCATCACAAGTTGCGCCATAATTAAGCGAGACTGTCATTAGGACACATGCTTCCGTTTCAAATATTTAATTGCGCACTTGCTGGGAATGTCATGAGTCTGTATGAATGTTTTCCTTATCCCTATTATTATTATTATGAATTGTTTAATTGGTCCACAAGCAGCCAAAAACTTCAGGCGTGTTGCCGTCATAACTCCGATGCTTGCAGCCCAGATGAAACTGTAGTCACGGCTCGAACCACGAGATGGGCGGCTACAGTGAGTTGGGGTCGTGCGCACGTAGTAGTCGGAGCGACCCAAGAAGCACGGCCTTTTGCATCCGGCTGAGTAATGCTTCAGCGTTACGCTGGCATGCCGGAATGAGCTTGATGTTAGCCAGCAGTGACGACTTGACTCCTCCAAGAACTCCGATTATGAGGACGATTAATTTGACAGTGAATCCTGGGTACAGCTGTCTTAGCTCAAACACAAGGTCTTGATACTTGGTCCGTTTTTCAGCCTCCTTCACAACTATGTTGGTTTCAGCCGGGGCCGAAAACTCGATGACATACATGGTGCATCCAGAGGTATCGATGAGAACGATGTCAGGTTTAGTGGCTGTTAACTGCCTGGTAGTGGGGAACGAATAGTTCCAATAAATTTTACATTTGTCGTTCTCAACGACGGACTCAATGTCCCCAGGAGCGTACGGCAAAACGGGTGTCTTATCTATGCCGTAAAAGTGTCTCAGGTGGTAGTAGAGTATACGTAAAGCAGCGTTATGTCGATGAATGTAGGCGCAGCTGGCATAATGTTTACATGCCGACAAAAGATGCATCAACGTCTCTGGTTGCATTCGGCATGCCCTGCAGACAGTATCCACTACCCCCACACCCATCACCATTCGGCGGTACACAAGTGTGTTTAC